CACTAAGAATAATATATGCAGTGTATTATTTGTTGAAACTGTACTTCCGATTTGATTTGAAACTGTCTCATTGCTATATGTTTATCAATAAAACTGTAGAAAAAAAAATAAAAAAAAAAAATGAAATAATTGACTGGGGAGATAGCTCAGCAGCGTAAGTCCTTGCCTGGCAAGTGCAAGGTCTTGAGTTTGATTGCTGGTATTGGAAAAAAAAGAAGACAAGAAAATGAAATAAAATAAAATAACAATAAAAGTACCTATTCATGAAAAAGATATAAAAGTTCTAAATACATATACACCTAAGAATGTTGTTTTGAAATACATGAAATTGAAAGTGACAGATTTGAAAGCAGAAATAGAAAAAACTACAATTAATGTTCAAAATTTGAACATTTGAAATGCTTGAAATGAATGACTTACTGGGACTTTCTAGAACATTTCTTCATACAGAAAAATCCATTTGAACCATTGTCCATGCATGCGGATCCTTTAAAGGAGCTAAGGAAGTAAGGTGAGCAACTAGAGTACTTGGGTGTGGCATAGAAATTAAGCAAACAAGAACAACAAAATAAGTACAGAAGCCTAAAGGACAGTTTCATATTCTAAGGCACACCAATGTGGGGAGTAACCCCTTTTCACATGGGAAAGACAGGGAAATGAGCACACAATTTTTCCCTTCAAAACAAACAATACTTTCTGCTCTGGCCCTTGCTCTGATCAGAATCCAGAAGTGGGCATACCCATTGGCTAAGTCTCTAGACCAACTGTGATGATTAATTCTTTAGGTCTACCCACTTCCAGGCTTTCCCACAAGCCTCAGACTCCAGATAAGTTCCCAGTACTTGTCCAGTCACCACAACCCTAGACTGTGAGACAAAACCTGTAAGCAGTCGCCTCCCAAGATAAACCACTGCCTATACTCCAGGAGTTAAGAGCACCTCAGTGTTGGAATTGCCAGATTCCAGTTATGGGCAGCTCTATAAATACAAGTTGCAGTTACACTTCAATCTTCACACTGACCTAGCTCACATGGTCCCAGGCTTCAGACCTATTCCAACATTGGTCCAAACCTCACAACCTCATTTTTCAGTGCTAATACCTGTGGTCCAAGACTCTAGTTCAACCTTACAACAGTGTCAGGTCTACACCCCCAGCTTGAGATACCAGGGTGGCCCTCAAGAACATAGAATTCAGGCCTGCCTACTTTCAGGCCAGAACCTGTACCTTTTACACACAAGCAAGCCAAAGCCTAAGTCTATTCCAGTTGATCCAGGGTCTGTTGGCTCATGAGACCTAAGGCTTTACCTGTTCCATGGGTCCATATTCCATGACTATTCCTTGAACTCAGGATCTATGGTTCCATGACTCTAAGATCCAGACCTTCCTCCAATGATCTAACCTTTAAGTCAACTCAGAGCCAAGGTAAGTACCTGGATTTTGGATTACACACCTACCCTCTACACTGGTCTCCTGAGACCCAGGCTTGAGCCCTGTCCAAACACCAAGACAACCATAGTAAAAGACATTACATGCAAATGGAAACTAAAAAGTAGAAAGAAAATTTATATTAGATACAACAAATTTGAGTAAAAATCCTATAAAATAAGACAAAAATAAAAAGCCACTATACAATGATAAAGGTGTTAAGACAGGAAAGAAGCCATCAGATCCTGTACTGGCTTTGGATGTGATTATTTAGTATTTTTTACAACCAAAAGGAAATAAAATTCAGCCTTAGCACAGAGAAAATTCTGGTATTTGCAACAATAAGCATAAAAGTGGAGGACAGTAAATTAGATAGGTACAGAATTATGATTCACAATCAAATTAATATATGAAATCTAAAGTTGTCACATTCCTAACAAATGTTGCTTTTCAAAGACTGGAATAAGAGGGAAATGGGAAGGTGTTGGTCAAGCAATAAAAAATTGCAATTATGAAAAATGTATAAGTTTAGGACATCTAAAGTGCAGCAGTTTGACTGAGCATGGTAAATAAATCTGTATTTCCTAACTGAAATTTGTCTAAAAACAGATCTTAAGATTTTTTTAAATTAAAAATAAATGATGACTATGTAAATGGATGGATATCTTAATTGCCTTAATTTTTATAAATCTTACAATGTCTACCAAAACCATATACCTAAAGACATACAATTTTTGTAAATTATACTTTAATAAAAATAGAAAATATATAAAAATATTAAAAATGGAAAACATAATGTTTTGTATTATTCTGGTAGTATTGATAGAAACACTGAAGGACATCTATTTTGGATGTAAAATAATTACCTTTTCCAAAATGCTGTACACAACGTGCATCAAGATCAACACAAATTCCGCTGTAACACATGAGCCTATTTTTGCATCTTTGTCCATTGATGACTGTTAGATCTTGTGGACAATGTTCTGAACTTCCTGTACAATACTCAGGGACATCACAGTGAGGGTCGCGTTTGTCCCTGCATATAACATTTGATCCTCTATACTAATAGAAATTAAGATATAAAAAATTACACACAACATTGTTTAGCCTATTGATATTTGTCTTAAAAGCATGTCAATATTTGAATCATGTTTATTATCTTTTTAATAATTATGTTTATTAAAATACTTTGTCCTAAATTGAATATATATATATATATATATATATATATATGATAAAGTCAAAGCTTTATTTTTGTTTTTAGTTTGAAGAGTAATGCTCACTTTGAGTATTGGAAAACTATTCCTTTGGTCAAAATTCTTTAATTCCCAAATAAAATACTGTATTCTTAATCAAGCTGTAAATTTTAAGTGTGGAATACTTTCATATCCTATGACAAATGTTAAATATGGTATAAATAACTGAGAATTAACAAAGGGAAGTAGATTAGTGAGTAAAGAAGTAGTTCACCTATAGGAGGTCTTTGCCTCTGCTTTTTTCCTAATACCTAAAGAGAATACAAAATAGTCAAAAACCAAAAGAATATGCAGGACACATTAGAGACAACAGAGAACTTCACCAAACAAAACAACAGATATTCTACAATGGTTGCTGTATTGTATAATGTTTCTTCAAATTAATTGTTCAGTTTACCAGATATAAAAATGCAAAATTGGTAAAAAACAAAACAAAGAAAAAAAATTAAGTATTAAAAGTTGTAAGAAAGTAAACAGTAGAAGAAAAAAAAATTAAGCACCAACTGCTCCCTTGTATTGACCAGCAAAAATCAGCAGTACAATTATCCAAGCCATCCTGTATACATACATAAATGTATCTTTTCCTGCATCCTCTGCCTGTACTTCCCCTCAGCCCAGTTTTTCCTTCCCTTTGAAGAGATTCTTTCCCTTTCACAGTATCTATTGTACCTGTCAGGTTTTACTCTTTCAGGTCCTTACATTAGCGAGGCAATACCATATTTGTACATGCATGTCTGATTATTGTATTTTTGAGTATGGTCTCTAATTGCATCTATTGATCTATAAAACCCTTAAATTTATCTTTTTTGTAGCCAAGTAAAACTTCATTGTGTAAAAATATCATTTCTTTTTTATCCATTCCTGATCAACTATGGAAGGTTTTGAGGGAATCTCCTTTCTCTTGAATTATACTTCATTAATTCTTTCATATATGATGTTAAGAAATTCTATATGAAGAATCTTCAATAACCATCAAGATTGCAATCCTTTATTATTTCAACTTCATATTAAAAAGATTAGAGAATTAAAAATGTAACCTGATAAAGATTCCAAAAAAAAGTAAAACCATGTCAATTATGGACAGTTAATAGACAGGACCAATGACAGTGGGTTCAAAAGAGATCTATTCTGAATACAGTAGAACAACCTTAAAAGATATGAAGAAACAGTGATCAACATTTCACCATATAAGCTAAAATGTAATCTTTCAAGTCTTTAAATCCCAAGTTTATAGTTTAAAATGTTGTTACATATCCTATTTGAAAAATGTTACTTCTATTGAGCTGCATTCCTTAAATGGGTATGAAAAATTCCATATTTTTCAATTGCATATTTAAGCAAATTTATCATAACTACTGTTACTATCAATAATAATATTTTTGATATATAAATGTATAAATATTAAATCAAATGAGAAAAATTTATCCAGCTCTATGAAGATCTCCTTATTGACAAGCTCTACAATAGTTCTCAATTAAGGTTTAAAATAACAGCATTAAGTTAGTGAGAATACTAGCATTAAACAGACCCAAACATCTGACAGAAGTTCATAATAGAAACATGACTCTAAAAGAGTCACTTATTCTGATTTAAACTTGTAGTTTAAAGTGTTCTAATGTCTCCAACACATGATTCAACAGATAGTTTTAAACATTAATAAAATTAAATCTTACTTTACAGAAATTGCAGCATGGCCCTCCAAGACATTCTGTTCCTAATTTCTTCCTGCAGTTTTCATGATTACAGCAGTTGTCAATTCCACATTGCTGTGAAGAAATGAAATGTACATGTAACAATAAGGTTTGACAACAATAAAATTTTGGTAGGAGTTATACTTGCTGGGGTAATTTTTGAATTTTGAAAAATTATATGAATGTTCCTGACAGAGTTTAACAACTCTAAATATACTTAAAACACACACACACACACACAGCCCTATCTATATTTATTATAATTTTTTTTTAGATTTATTTATTTGGTAGAGTCTTTCTATGCAGTTTAACTCATAGTAATTCTCCTGTCTCAGCCTTCCCAGTGCTGGGATTACAGGTGTGTGTCACCATGCCCAGTTTCCATGGTCAGTCAGTCTAACACTGGCAGGGCATGTGGTGCCACAGCTGGAACCTGGCTCCTTGTGTTTACCAAGCAGGGGCTTAGACCACTAAGCTATTTCCCCAACACCTATACTTAAAATTAATGTAGAAGTTAAACTTCAAATCAGGATATAATAACTGATATTACATGTATACTCCTACCCAACTAGAAAATTAAAAAAAACATATTAAGTAATTTTTCTAGAAATTGGACATCAGGAAAACATAAGTTAAAGAAGAAAAATATATGACCCAAGCTCTAAACACTAGCTTTCCACCAGGATGTAGTTTTACCAAACATGATGATCTGAATGACTTAAAAAGACAAGGATGACTGTTGTAAGTCTCTGAGTTAGTGGTCAGATTATTGTTGTCCAGTGGATAGTCTAGTGAAAGAGTGCTATAATTTTCCATGGAAACTCTTTCTGCATGGGTTTGAAAAAAAATATTGAACACTACTTAAAAACATGGAAGAGCATAAAGAAAATGTAATTTAAATATATCAAGAGAAAAGAAATAAAAGGAAAAAAATCAGTCCCCCATCAAGCAGTCTACATGTAATTGCATTTCAAAAAGACATAAGAGGGTGAAGACGTAATTGTTAAAATTTTTCCAAATATATTGTAAACTCAAATGATACACATCTAGGAAAATCATCTATCTTTAAGCAGGGAAAATAGCAGTAGATTCACTTTATAGTGGGCTGCTAAAATCTCAAGATAAAAATAAAATTTGAGAACTCAAAAAATAAATGATTTCATTCCTAGGAAAATAAGTTTAATACTGTATTTCGCATGACTATAACATTAATTACTGCTAATTTCATAGCATATTAAATATATTCATGAGTTCTGGACTTACATGTCTGCAAAGATATAAAACTAGGATTGTTTAGGGTGATACTCTTTTTGTTTTAGATATGGATATCTGCCTTTAAAAAAAGGAAAAGATATCTGCCTGTTTTTTTGTTCTTCAGTGAGATTAGAGTTTATGTCAAACCAACATGAGACAACCTGTCAGAAAATATGTTTTCAAAAAACAAAGCTTTTTTAATGTATGTGTTATAACATGACACTATATTTTAGGGATGCTTAGACACTAAACAGTGAAGAACATGTCACAAACTTCTTGTGTGAAATTGTATTAAAAATAACAATTTTTAAAAAATAAATAAGAGTTACTTTGTGTCACTCAATGTCTAATGATCAAAAGGAGACCAGTGACTAAAAAGACTGCTATATACTAAAGTGGACATTTAAGTATTTTATAAAAGCAATAATGGTTCTCATGCTGAAATATTATGCATGGTTTTTAATCTCAAGTTTTCTTTGTGAAACTATACAACTGTTAGCTATTAATATTTGCCTGGGACTTAACACTAGAACAACCATGGTTGGTAGGAAATAACAGTCTTCTGGATATACGTCATACTTCAAAGTGTTCAGATAAAATTAAAATAATTACAAAACATTGCCTCCACTGAAATATTAATATCACTTACCTTCTCTTTTGGGTGGGCAATAACTAAAGTTTAGAGTTCAGAACTAGAAAGGTAACTGAACTTAAAAAACAGACAACATTTTGGCCCTAGCCCTCCAAGGTCAGCAAGGACACAGGACATGAGAGAATTTTTTTTTTGTTTTGCAAGAGCCTACTCCCTTGGTATATCACCCACCTCCTCACCAGGGAGATTGCTGGGATCTAGAGGACAAAAAACAACAATGTACAGTGTGCCCAAGGAGGGTCACCTAGAGAGAAGTCTCCCAAACTTTCACAAAAAACAACATGGTCAAGCATCCTGATGGTGACAATGACAGAAGAGCTAAGAGGCTTTACACATGGTTCCAAAGTAATGACTGAGGAGATGCAACTGACCTTGATAGACAACTAGGTGTTAATTTTAATAATCACAGGTCTCATTTTTACTTGGTGTCTCTGTTACTTTTCTCTCATTGCTGGTACAAAATACCTGACACCCAAATTAAGGAAGGAAAGGTAATGTAGCTCATAGTTTGTGAGGGTTTCAGTCCACCTTTGGCTAACTGGAAGGTAGGTTGGCCCATGGCAGATGGTAGCAGTTCATGGCAGCAGAAAATAGCACAGGTAGCAAAAGCAAGAATGAAGGAGCAGCAGCAGTGGCAGAGGAAGGCCTCTCAACTTTCCTTATATTGCATTCAAGATATTCGTGGGTGTAGCACTCCTACCCACAATCCCAGCAGCATTCACATCCATAATATGAACACTTGATGATAAATTAATCACAAGTTATAGAATCCTGCTGCCCCAGTGACTACATGAGGTTTTGGGGGGACAACTAGACACAAATCATAACAGGGAGAATGCAGTTGCCCCCACAAACATAATTAGATCTTGTTACTTTTACTTTAAAAAATTAATCCTCTTACAAAAAATAAATATATTCCATCAGACCTTCATTAACAAAAGGGCTGATCATCAAGCATGTCTAGGGCTTTAGTGCTATAAAAAGACATCTATGGCTGGGGAGATAGTTCAACAGTGTAAGCAGCTGCCTGGCAGGCACAAGGACACAGGTTCATTCCCCAGTTTTGCAGGCTGTGCTGGCCCTGGAAACCCACCCAGGCATGCTGTGCCACCACCAAAACCATGCTTGTAATCCCACTCTGGGGAGGCTGAAATAGCCTGAGGTTCATGATGAGTCAGAGCTGCATAGAAAGACCTTATGATAAATAAATAAATAAATAAATAAATAAATAAAGGGCTTAAAGAAATTAAAAAGACATCCAAATAGAAAAGTTGGATGGTCTAATATAATTAATAACATGGGAACAAGGGTATGCTTGAGTATTAACAGGCCATGAAGTACCACTGTGAGCATCATCCCAGAACATGCAGAAGTGGAGAGAGATGTACAAAACCTTAGTGAAGGCTGCTTCTATCAGGCCCATTTTGGACTGCATACTGGACTGATTATGTAAATACCCTTGTGTCTTTTATTTCTGTTTCTAGTCTGCTACAGAGGGCACTAAACCCAACAATGCCTAGACCTATTCAACCTCAAGTCACAATATTTAAACTGCTGCAATTACAAAAATAAAACAGCAATTGTTGGGGACCAGACTGTGTAAGGGTTAAGTCGTTGACCACAGTGATTTCTGGATCCTCAGCATCTGAAGGCAAGATAGGGCTGCAGGTGAGGACATTTGGCTCACTCCCTCTTCCAGAGCAGTTAACGGCTAACCTTAGAGATAACGCAGTTCTCCTCAGTATCCAGGTTTACTGCTGAAGAGTGCCTTTGATCCTGTTTTATAAGTCCTGCTCAGCTGCCCACCTTTATCTTTCACTGTCCCTCACACTCTTTGAACTTGTTTGAATTCCAATAAATACTGGACACTCAGACAAGTCTTTGTCTTATCTCCAACAGAATTCTGACCTTTCTGGACTCCCAGAAACCATATTACATGTCTCTTCTTTTTAAGTCTTGCCATACATTCATCATAGAAGACTGGGAGCCCAGCAAATCCCAACAGTTCTATATTCTTGACTTGCTAACTTTAATATGATATGAGTATGTTTGGGTTACATTAGTTTGGTGCTCAAAATTAATCTTGTGTTTAATATCTTAATCCTCAACTATAAGTCAGTGATATGATAAAATAAAATAAATCTTAAGAAAATCAGGACTCTAGAAATGGCTCGGTGGCTTAAGGGCCTGCCTATCAAGTGCAATGTCTGAGTTTGATCCTTGGTACCAAAAAAGAAAAAGAAAAGAAAGAAAAAGAAATCAGCAGTGTACATTATTTTCAAATAATATTAACAAACAAAATCTAGTATATCCAAAAGTACCATAAATCACTTTATTTCCAATTTTGTATGTTTAAGTTATGAAAATTAAATATAGGCTGAGCATAAGACAAGTCCCAATATACATAAAAGAATGAAAGTCATATTAAAGTTAACAAATGTTTTAAAATTAATGAACACCTATAAATACCAATGTATCAATGAAAAAATATGGAGAAAATGAGAATTTGAAACTGAATAACAATCTAAAATGCAACAAAATGTATGCTATGTAGATAATGCAGTGCTAAAGAGAAATTTACCACATATAAAAAAATATTTATGAAAAGAAGACAGAAAATGAAAGGTTTAAGTTTTCATTTAAAAATACTAGAAAAAGAGAAATACACAACTGACAATAGAAATAATAAAGGTAAGTTCTGCCAGCCTGGGCAACATTGAAAGTTCAAGGCCAGTCTGAACTATGTAGTTAAACTTTGTCTCAAACAAACAAAAGAAACATTAATAAAGATACATAGTAGCTCTTTTTAAAGATAACTTAATCCACAAAGGGGCAACAATGAAGAAGAGCAAGAAGCAAAATAATTCAAGTCTAAAACGAAAACAGATTCCAACTCAGAGTGATATACCCTAAAAAACTCTCTTTCAAGTTTAATGGGGAAGTAAAATATTTCCATGACAAATAACTACTAAAGAATTTCACCACAATAAAACCAACACTATATAGAATACTAAAAGGTATTCCAGAGAGGGATCAAAATGACCACAACTCCACAAATGAGAATGGAAAGAACCTGGCAAATAGGGCAAACATTTAAACACAGGAGAAATATAGGTGACTAACAGCAGGAAACTAACCATATAAAACATAAGTCAAAACAGTTATAACC